TTCATTCTAGAATGAAAAAGGCATAATTTATGATTATTTCCTAATTTTTTATGGTGGTTGCGAGATCGGTCAAATTCATCAAACCCATATAGAGATTAATAACTGAAAATAACAGATAAAATAAAAAGTTGTTTCTTAAGAAACGTTTGATAACTATCCAGACATTATAAAGACTTCACATGTGAAAGTTAAAAATTTTCTAATGCAAAAAAGTATTTTTAATCTTCAAATGAAATTTACTTTGCATGATAAATAGGCAAGATGTGAAAAGAAAAAAAAAAGGCACGAGAGAAACATTGCCTTACAAACCTTAAGACTTAATAAAAAAAATTAGATATTTTCCATATGAAATCATTGTAATGTTTAATGATGAACTGCAAAATTTCTTTAGCATTCACTTACTAATTTAAAAGTTATAGCACGAAAACTATAACAAGCATAAACTGGTTACAAGGTTGGTCCCAGGGACCATGCCCGGGTTGAAAGGGTTAATCTAAGTAAAATTGTTCAATATATTTAAGTTCCTTGTTTTAAATTATAATCTCCTTACTGTCATTTAATAACATTATCATAAATAATTATAAACGTTGTCAAAATCTTAATCATAAAAGCCAAGTGTCAGTCGGTCAGTCAGTTGTTCACGATCAATTTCTCCAAATTTCGTGAGTTACACGAGTCCAACTCATTTGATTGCCCATTTCCATTTTAGTTGAATTTAATCACTAACATAGACATAAATAGTGGGACTTTTCTGCTATAGACACAGAAGTACATTTGTACCCTATCAATGCCTGTGAAAAATAAGTAAAAAATTAGTGCAAATCTATGCTTGGGAATTATCATGAAAAAGCCTCTGTTAAAACAAACTGAAGGTACTAATTATCTGTAGGGGAAAGGAAAATGCATAATTGGGCAACATCCCAACACAACCTGAACATGTATCTGTGGTTAAAGGATACCTGTGATGCAGTATATAACAGCAGATGACAACTGAACTTGAGTGAAATCTTTAAGAAAATGTAATGGGTATTCTGTGTGTTTTTGTATATTATGTTTTTAATCACTAATCAAATAAAGTTAACCAAGCTACAAATATTTTGTATTCCTGTCTTAACAGCTAAAAATAAAAGAGGCAAGGCTAGGCTTGAACTGGATGACGTATGATTTGAACATGGCAGATCCTGCATTTGAAAATCCTGGATATTATGCAACACTTGAACTTTTGCAACCAAAACTAATTTCTGAGTGACAGTTTCTCCAAAAACATGTAAATTATTGTCTAGAATTGTAATGCACAATTATTTTGTGGAAATTTTGAGAAAAGAAAAAACTGCAGATAATCGAGGATCGCAGAAAATTGAGTTGCAGATAATTGAGGCAATAGTGTAACCCCCATTTCTTGGTACTTACAGTAGTGAAGTTAGATTAGGCATACCTGGTTCCTAGATTTGAAAATATTTATCAAGGCCTGACATATGCATATTAATATGTTGTGAATAGTGAGAAGTCAAAAAGTGTTGGAAAAAAATTAATTGATTTATAAAAGGTTCATTTCATGAATATAGACAAAAATGTATTAGGTCGTCAAGAAATTAATGTCACTTTTCTAGATGAAAAAACCCAAACAACTTGTATATTAAAACAAAACATTTATTAAATGAAATATTCCCCATTCTTATCAATGATGCTTTTCCATCTTACAATCAGGTTGTTAATGCCCTGATTAAAGAAATCACTTGCCTTTGAAGCGAAGAACATGTCGATGTCCTCTTTAACACCTTCCACATTTGCATATATTTTCCCATTAAGATGATATTGCAGTGAATAAAAAAATGGTAATCTGATATTGCAATATCTGGAAAATATGGTGACTGGGGAGAACTTCCCAACTCAACTCCATAATCTTGTGTTGGGTCAAATGTGCAACATTTGGGTGTGCATTGTGTGACAAGTGAAGGGTGTTTCTGATGAAGGGCTTGATTTAAATGTTCCACTTGCTGAATATATATATATCTGCATTGACAGTTTGCTGTGGATTGAGGAGTGCGAAATGAATTATTCCTTTGATGTCCTACCAAATGCAAAGCATCACTTTTTTGCAGATGGAGTCCAGGTTTGGGGGTCGGAAGTGGTTTTGTCTAGGACTGAGCCATTGTTTTTGGCATTTAATATTTGCATAGAGAATTCATTTTCATCACAGATGACAATTCTGTCCAAAAAAAGTTCACGCACATTACGCGTTTTACTATTATATATGATGTAGGTTTTTTTAGGGGGGTTAATGAAAGTGTTTGAAAATGCGACATGAATTTCTTGACGAACTGCCTAAATGTCATGTTAGTGTAGCCTATATAATCTGTAAAGTTTAGTATACTCTAATCCCTTATAGTGATAGCATACGACAAGACACACATTTGGTATGTAATGCTGTTTGAATACGAAAAGGGAAACAACACCTCTATAGCCACAAAGAATATCAAAGAAGTTTATGGAAATGTTTTGAACATTCGTAGGTGTCAATGATGGTTCAGCAAATTTTGTTTAGTTGACTTTAGCCATAAAACTGTGATGGCAGGGGCCGACATGTTGGAATTGATTTTGATGCTCTGAAGATGCTTGTTGAGTCTAACCCAAGACAACACACTCATGAAATGGCCCTGAAATTGCATGTCTCTCATGAAACAATATGTAAACATCTAAGAAATATGGGAAAAACTCATTAAAGAAGGTGTTTGGGTACCTGACGAACTCTCCAATGATCATTGTTTCCAAATTGTGAACGTTGCTTCGTTTCTTCTGGCACATAAATGCGTGTGAACCATTTTTGGACAGAATTATCACCAATGATGAAAAATGAATTCTCTATTCAAATATTAAATGCCAAAAACAATGGCTCAGTCCTAGACAAAAACCACTTACAACCCCAAAACCTGGACTCCATTTGCAGATGCTTTGCATTTGGTAGGACATCAAAGGAGTAATTGATTTCGAACTCCTCAATCCACAGTGAACTGTCAATGCAGAGATCTATAGTCAGAAATTGGAACATTTGAATTAAGCCCTTCATCAGAAACGTCCTTCCTTCATCTGTCCAAAAGGTGTTCTTCTTCTCTACGACAATGCACGTCCACATGTGTCATGTTTGATGCAACACAAGATTATGGAGTTGGGTTGGGAAGTTCTCCTCCACCCACCATATTCTCCAGATATGGCACCATCAGATTACCATCTTTTTCATTTGCTGCAAAACCATCTTAATGGGAAAACATATGCAAATGTGGAAGGTATTAAAGAGTAGATTGATGTGTTTTTTCCTTCAAAGCCAAGTGATTTCTTTAATTAGAGCATTAACAACTTGATTGTAAGATGGAAAAGCATCATCAGTAAGAATGGAGAATATTTCATTTAATAAATGTTTTGTTTTGATATACAAGTTGTTTGGGTTTTTTCATCTAAAAAAAGCTACATTAATTTTTTGACGACCTAATACGTGATGTTTCTGTAAAATGCAATGACTTTTCCATCAGATTTGAATTATGCTGTTGCTAATTCCTAGGATTGCTGTAGTGGTAAATCTTTTCAGTTATTTTTTTTTTAATATCATAACAGATTTCTGACTGACCTATATGACCTTCAATAAATGTTTCTCTTTTCTATGTTCACCCTTCACAAATTTTACAAAAAAAGCTTTTCTTTTTTCAGGCTTTATTCACAGAATTTCACTTATGAGTAAATGGGGCATCTAGATTATACACAACAACCTGAAAAAGTTATTCGTAATCAGCATTTGTAATTATCAAAAAACGTAAACCTATGGTTAGTTTTGACTATATAGATAAAAGTTATTCACATGTTCAAATTATTCAAAATCAACCCTGAATAACGTATATTTTGAGAATTATGACCAACATCAACAACTCAACATAACAAAATGAAAAACTCTTATTTTACTAAAATATAGAGTTATTGAAAAACATCAAAGATGGGTCAGTGATAAATGAACACTTTCATAAAAATGTAGTGGTTACTAGTATATATCAGAGCTCAGTTATTTAGTAAATTCCAATCATTTATTAGTTTTTTTTTCATTGTTAGTACTTACATGTGCTTTTGCTAATCTAGTTTAACCCAATTGATTACTTTTATTTCAGAGAACATACCTGATAAAAGATCTACTGTCTTTCTGTAATAATCTTGATACAAATGTTGTATTGCTTCTGTAACAGAAAAGTACTGATTCTTCCACTCTTCTAAGTCTTTTGCTGCTTGCTGCTTGACTTTGTCTCCAAGATCCTGGTCTTCAAGTTGCAACTGGGCATTTTTTGTTTTGGAAGTGGCTAATTCTCGAAGTTCCAAAAATGGTTTTAGTTGAAAATTGTACAGCTCTGAAAGGGCTACAGATATATTTACAACTACTTCATCTTCTAAAGCATAAACTGTAGCTAGTTCTAATAATGATTCTGCTCTTTCTCGTAATTCCAGAATCTCCTTCAGACCAAGAAAGGCTTTATTAACCATACTCTCATGAGCTCGCAGTCGAAATTCATTCACATTTTCTTCATAATCTATCAATGGATCTTCTTCTTCTTCAAACAAAAGAGAAAAAAGCATTTTCTTCCCACAAACATCTAAGGCAGTATAAAGGTATGCTTCAATTTCTCTAACTGGTATTTCAGTACTTCTAACTCCAAATAGATGAGACAAAAAACCAGATTTATTACAAATTTTGGGAAATTTATCATTTAGTGTTGTATTAACTAAAGACAACTGTTGATGTATATTTTGTAGACTTGCAATGCTCAACATACAAGCATGTGACTTACATGTCTGATCACTGGCCTTTCTTGCTCCTTCAGTACATGTAATAGCCAGTTGTTTTTCAATTTCATTCCACTCAACAATGAAATTTAAATCTTTCCTATAGGCAACATCTTCTTGACCAAACAAATCATCCTTGATTGTGACCCAATCATCAAGACTAGCATCTTCTTCCATTTCCAATTTAAAAAGCAACAACTTAATTTCTAAATGTAAGACAAGAAAAACAACATTTTGTTATTAAAGTCATCCAGTATTACACATACATGGGTTTTCAAACCTACATAAATCATACAATTTTAGCATAGTAAAACCAACATTATCAAAAATAAAACTAATGATCATAAACCAATAGCTACATGTTGAATTTTATTAATGAGTATTTAAAAATCCTAACATCCATGTTTAGAAAATGTGGAAAAGCTTTTCCACAATTTCTAGAAGACAGATACATGTAATAAGAACCATAAAATAAAGTAACATCATGTATATAAAAATAATTTTGGTCTGTCATTTCTCTTTCATATTTTGGTCATCAGACGAATCAATATTAATATTTTTAATAACCTGCCGATTATTAGACAATATCAGTTAACAAGCTGGAGTACCTGTGTGATGGATAAGTGAAATAAAAACTTGTTTGTAAGAAAAGAGAGTAAATTGTGCTTTCTTTTCTTTTTTTTTCTTAACATAATAAACATTAAAAATGAATAAAAATACATAAAGGTAGCAATAATGAAACAAAAGACATACTGTTTTCAAAAATTCTATCATATGAAATTAGATAGGGGGTTCTAACCCCTCTCATGTCATTCTATATCACTGTAAAGTTGTGCTGATTTAGTAGTTTTTCCGAAATTAGATATGAAAATAGAGGGGTGGTCCAACTAAATATCTAAAATTTGACAGTCACAGTTGTTTTGATCATAAGTCTTCTAACATGGCACCTGTGACAAAATGTTTTGCATACAGAATACTAATTAAGTGCTAAAACACAACTGATATTATAATATTATGAACACCTAAATGATATTTCATGAAAATTCTTTGGATATTATGTTAAATATTAATTTACTTGTCAGTGTCTTAGGGATTGAGTCTTTTAAAATGAAAAGTATGTATTCAAAAGATAAATAACAGAAAAAAAATCAAACATGATACAGCAGAATCCACAGATTAATTGACAATAGCTTTGTTTGTTTTTAGAAATGTTTTTGTACCAAAGCTACCTACACATAGTTATCCTTACTTTTGAAATAACAAAATAGAGCCTAGAGGAAAGGTAGCTAGTCAAAAACACCCACTACCAGCTCTTTGTCTTTTCTAGTCTTACCAAATAGCCAGATGTGATCATCATTCTTACAGCACACTCACAGCCCTGAAAGACAGAATATGTTTTTGGAATCAACAGAACACAAACCATGAATTCTCAGATTCACAGTCCAGGTGCATTAACCACTAGGACATGCCTGGCCTAGTTGACAATATATAGGCTAAGTCAAGCTTAAAGTGGTGGAATGTATGTAATAAGTAAATGAATTAGCCTAACTATGATTGGATGAAATTCTTGAAGTTCACTATTCCACAATTTCATTAACACAGTTTGTAAACAGTGACTGATTTCAGCAGCGTTCCAAGAGAGCACCAACTTTTCAATAATTGTGCAGGTGGAGTGTCACTCCCATATTTCAAACATAGATTATTTCCTGTGTTGCTTTCTTCATCCAGATGTGAATCAATGGGACTGTATTTATTGCAGTCATGTAAGCTGGTCAAACTAACCACAATGCACTATAGAAATCAAGACATGAGATTTTTTCTTGCTAATGCATGTGAGTGTGAGAATAAGCCCAGATCAGGGATTGAAATATTTAATTAACAAATTCACAAGAAATTTAACTTTGGTTGAGGAATTTCATTTTTTTAGTTGGCCTTCTCAATCAGGAATGCATGGTACATCCATATTCCTTTAGTTATGACAAATGAAAGTGAACATATTGCATGGATTAAATAAAAAAAAAAAATTCATGAGAAAATGCAACTTTACATGAGGGAATGTAATCTTCCTGGTAACTTTACCTCGAGTGAATGTAATTATATTTCAGTTATTTCTGTCCCTGCAGATGTATGTGTCTAGGTATGAAATTCTCAAAAAAAAATAAAAATTAGAGGTACTCGGTTGGGTGAAGTAGACCTGTTTTTGAAAAGTTAAAAAATCTACATGTAAACATAAAAAATGACCAAGTACCTCAAATAAGTTCCAGTACTAGTACTGCCTTAAAAAATAAGTTCTGGTACTAAGTACCAGAAGAATTTCACCCCTGTGTGTATCTACAGACTCAATAGGTGAGTGTTGCTAGCATTAATTAATTAAGTTTTGTCTGAATGGGAAGTATGGGTGTCAGGGTGCACAGAGAAATCATGACAACCCCTTCACATCTAAATTTAGCATAATTTTTTGTAAGTACAGTGAAAGCTCTGTTATCTGGCATCTTTGCATCTCGAAAGCTCTTGTAACCATAAATTTCAAGAACTCCAAATACAAATGTTTATTGTAGAAACCCAGCATTCATTATAATTCCAACCAAAATGTCTTGGAACACTCAAAGCTTCTGAAAAGTTTTCAACTGTAGTTAATTGATGCTGCTGCTTAGTAGGGCTTCAGTGACTTTGTTTACATTCTTTCCCATCAGCAAACTTCATTTATTAGCCACCAACATATTGTATTATTTTATTTAAAATGCTCTACTTACAAAATACTTTATACAGTTTAAAGTTTCTTACAACATTTATTATTGTATATACTGTTAATGTTATTGGTATCATCGAGGTCGGATATCTGGGAACTTTGCCCACCTACATTGCAATGTCCGCTTAGCAACCGAGGCAAAGGGGCATACAAATAGCATGAAAAAAGGGAAATTTTGTTCATTCTGTACACTTGCCCACTGTCTAGACTGGTAATCGTAATGACTATTTGTGTTTGTGATGAACTTCTGTTGTTCCAAAACTGCAAATATGTTGAAGACTTGTTGCGTAAACAATTGCACCAATAACAAGTTGAAAAAGACTTGAAATTTCCTTCTATTTGATACCCAGTCCTGCAGTTCACTTTAATAGTAAGCATAAAGCAAACATTTGTGGGATTCTACTGCTAGCCTAGAACAGTCTTAAGATAATTTGTCTATAATTGTTTTAAAAACTAGTTCAACCTGGTAGTTTACTTTTAATGCTTGTTTTCTCACAAAAAACAAGCTACTTAAAAGAAAAGATGAGTGTTTTGGCTGAAAGCTATCAACCATGGAACACAGGAAGCAACAGTAAAGCTGTGGGAGCCAAAGTCTGACTATAACTATGTGTGTTCAGCTCAATTCATATCATGTAAATGTTGTCTTCTGATTATTTTTTTAACACAAGATAATTGCACATGTCTGTCTGGGTACTGCATACTGGGTCATTCTGTTGGGTTGTTGATCCACAAGTTGGCAGGGTGCTGGTAGGGACAAGAATCAAGCCTAATTAATTGTAACTTTACTCGATATCTTGCTAATACCTCAGCTGACAACTTCTCCACATATTGATAAGACATTACAATTGATAATTTAACTATCAAACAATGATATATGAATGATAATTAAAAGATTTACACAGCAGCTTCAGCAGTAACACATGTATACAGTATATCTATATAAATTGCATACATGCAGCTGTACTCGCTTCCCTATTGATTGGCCCTGTGAAGATGGCAATCACATTACCGGGCAAAATAGATGACAGAAATATTGCACCTTAGAACATCAACAAGAAGCAAAATGTTTTTCAGTAAAAATATTATAAGGGAAACCCTTTCATAAACCAGAATTTTCGCCTATTTGGCATTGCCAAAGTCCAGCAGATGCCAGATAATAAAGCATTTATTGTATATGATTTGTCTTCTGTTCTATCAATACCTATCCAAGGTAAAAGATCAACAAAGCTTTCACGCTTATATTCGTGGAAAAAAGAAATTCGTAGTTTATGTGACGTAAAACGAAACTTACTTGTTTAAACCTTTTCAATTGTATACTTCACTGTCACCTTTCAAAACAAGTTTCACTCTCTACTCTAGTACTACTCGTAGTAGTTGCATCACAGTTGTACAGTACAGTCGCACGTTATACATATAAGATATCCATACTAAGAAATTTCAAAATCATATACAATAAACACTATGTATAACTGTTTTATGATGAATGCCATAAGATGTCCCAACTAATATCTATAAACAGCCTTACACTCAGAAATCTGTACTGTGAACGTCACACACATGGATATATTTATGGTCACATGCCCCACTCTAGACAAGAGCGTCATCTTCAAGTATTTGATTATTGAAATATACATTAAATATATGCAACATAAAAAAAACTAATTGTGTAATATTAAACAGACGCTGTAAAGCTATTTTATGTAAAGTGAAATGTGGCCAAATAATAAGTTATTTGAATCAGTATACCATTATTTCTAGGTCTTACTTGGCCAAGTAGTTAGCAAGCTGCTCAGACTGTGAACCGAAGGGTTCATGGTTCGCATTTCACAATTTGGAGCTGTAGTTGTGCTAAAACATGGATGGCCAAATCCCATTATTCCATCAAACAAAATTTGACTAGCTGCTGTATCTTTTGTCTGTCAGTTCAAAATTAAGTATAGCTATGCTTTATATCTCTTTGTACAACTTCGCGCAACAAAAACCTGGAACAAACATTTTATCACTATAAGTATTTGCAATATTTGTATGCTCTGTTCACTGTGGAAAGTGAAACATCATATTTTTGCATAAATGCACCACTGATCCATCGCAGAATTGGACAATTTCAGCTGAAAAGCAGTATGACTTCACATTTATTCTAGTATATCCTATGTTACTTGAAGTTCACGGAGCTTTACACTTCAGTCCAAATATTAATTTAGTTTCCAAACATCTTTGTAAGTTGCTGAGAAACCTTCGATTTATGCAAGGATATACGATTTTGCAGCCTTACCACATCATTATAATCCATGGCAAGTCATGCTCATCTGAAGACCTTGCATCTTTATAAACTTGCAATGTGGCTATCATTGCAAAAGGCTCCGTCTTAAGGTTCTTATGTTCAAATCACACTCCTCCATCCCGTTTGCTTTCCATAATACATCTATGAGGATGACGGTTTTCAAAGGTGCTTTATCTTGTAACTCAACCAGCCTGTATTCATATGTAATAGTATAAATATCGCTTTATATCTTCCAGCTCCTAGGGGTATGCAATGGTTGAATGGAGATATAACTGGAAGCCTTACCTTGCCCTGTTAGCCTCGTTTTCAGAAGTCTTTCTTAATTGCCCTTAACAACTGGATGGCTTTTGCCACTGGTCTTTCTGTTGCAGATTCTCACCTGTTACATCACGATTTGTACACCACAGCTGGGGTATGACTTATTGCGGGTCTCCTTACAAATAGTCCTGGGTCTCCAGTTGATCCATATTACTTTGTTTTCCAATGTCATTAAGTACAATGGATATCTCTGTCTTGGAATTCCTAAATCTCCAATCTAAATGCATTTTTATGATCTGAGAGTATAAATATTTTATATGAAAGAGGGTTGTTACATACCATTCGTAATTTTCAGTGACACTACATTACTTACATAATGCCAAATAATGTCAAAATGTAGTTCTGATACATCTGTTCCACTGCAACTTTATATTGGCTGTAGTTGTCAGGTGACTTGTGAATTTGCATATGTAAAATTGTTTCAATATAAAGTACTTAACTTTCTATATTTCATGAAATGGCTTTACCTTTATAAGTGCAAGAAAAGGGGTGAATTTCAGGAATAATAACTCAAAAACAATTTATTATTTTTCCTTTGAAAAGCCTGAAATATAGTTTTCTGTGTGAATTATTCAATAGTTTTGTTCAACATTTAGTTCATCAAAGTTATGCACCTATCATTCGTTTCTTTTTTCCCTTATTATAATATCTTAAGATGTATAATTATGGTAACCTTGTATTAATGCTGTCACTTAACTCTGTTTAATAAATACACTTAGTGGAATTTGAAAGTGCAACTGAACTTAGACAAAATTTTAAAACAGCTACACTGTACAAGGGCAAGAAGAAATTTCATCAAGTTTAAAAGAAAAGAGGAATACGAATTTCAAAGTCTTCCAGCTTTACACATGACTAGCATGCTAGATGCCCCAAAATGCTAAGATTCGTTTAACAAAATTATCTAAAAAGCTGGTCAAATGTCAAATCAAACAAGTTCCAGCGTTAAATCTAAAATGTATGAAAACAATACCCAAGGACATGATAAAGGAGTTCAATGTTGGCCACATTCTGTTCAAGTAGAAAGTCCAACTGAGTTCAAATACATGTACTACAACGATAAAATCCTGACCACGCTTGGAATAGATATTGTTACGACATCGGAAGTCGCGCGACGCTGAGAGCATGCGCGATGGAGTTTCTAGAAGGATAGTGACTTAGCGGCAACCTCACAAATGTCCCAGCGTTTGCTAGACGCCCTCTTTTTTAGTATATAAGCCTGAGATAGATTGAATAGATATAATTGAGTCAAGCAAACAGTGGGCACCGAAAGTAAATTGTGTGAATCGCTGTGAATTATAACATGTTTTAAT